TTATTATCTTCTCTCGGCGGCGGCGAATTCTAAGGTAGTAGACCCACCCAGCATTCTTTGAGCCGATGGAATACTGATGGAATATTTCGGCTAGGCCGAGATTTAGTCCGGTTTGATGATTTAATGCGGCTATTCCCATTATGATACGATATGTATTGGTGGACAGTTGGGTGGGGCACAACCTAGTCTGTCTAAGAAATTCGCAGATTAGCGGTTGGACAGGAAACCGTAGTCCGGTTTCTATTATGGATTGAAGGGTAAAAGGGACGAAGCCTTCATTGTCCCAGGGAGTAGCGTCTTTCTTGGCCAACACCAGTTCGACGTCATCGGGAATCTGGTAATCTTGCCTAAATTCGGCCATACCACCAGGGGTTTCGACTAAATATCTATACTTACCCATTTGTTGTATAATTTACGAATAAATTATTTCGGTACAAAAACTAGGCTCAGTAGCTCGGTTGAGCACACGCACAAGTGCCTGGGCAACCTAAGTCTGCAAAGTAGAAAACAAAGGGGTTAAGCACAGATCGTTGGACCGCGCTACAAATTATAAGCAAGATATACAAATCCTACTTCGGCTTAGTGGGCTGGTTCTACCTCGGTTCATCAAAAGGTTTGTTAGCTCGGTGTTGAGCAGATTAGACCGGTTTATCGTCTAGGGGCAGCTTTCCGAGTTCGGTCTAAAAAACTAAGAAAGCTGGTTTAGCCCCAAGGCCTAAAACGGTTGTAGTGCGAATAGAGTTACTTCGGTTAAGCCTCTAGGGGCGGCTTTCCGAGTTCGGTTTAAGAACGAAGAAAACCGGTTTGGCCCCAAAGTCTTAGCGCGATTATAGACCGAAGTACCTAGTTCGGTATGTGCAAGCTTGTTCGGTAATCTCATCTTAGCTAGAGTGGTTCAGAAGAAACTACTGACATTCCTACAAGTTCTAGTTCGGTTATTGACTACGGAAATCTACATATTAGGGGCAAACAGAATCCTAGTCCGGTTGCAATGTGATTTTGGATCTAAGGCTTGTTTTTCTACATAACAGTTCATACACATACAAGTTCTATTCATTTTTTCATAAGAATACAGAGGCAAAAACAAAAAAATGCACAAGCATGCTTCGCCAAGACAGGGAAAACAGAAAAGAAGAAAGCAAAAACAAGTTTTTTCAAACTTACCAGAGGGAAACAAAGGCGAGGGAGGAAGAATGGCAGCAAAACCACAGCCTTTTCAAGAATAGTGGAAGAACAGTTAGAGCACACAGAGAGAAGACGAAGGATTTCAAGAATGTAAGTGAATGATTCAAAGGTAGAATGGTTCTTTTGTGAAAAAGGAGAGAGAAAGAAGCGGCAAAAAAGGGCGGGAACTGTACGAAATTTTTGTAGGGCGGCGTGACAGTTGGCCACAGCTTATCAGAGTTTGCCACGTGTCACTGGAATGGGAAGCGTTACAGACACTGTGATTGAAGAGAGTCTGTTTCCAGAATGTCTCGGTCATTGAAAGATAGCTTCGGTGCCCAGCAACTGATGGTCCGGTCGGAAGACTCCGGTCGAGGGCTTGGTGGTAAGCTCGGCTGAATGACAGGTTCTTCATCCACCAAAACTCGTTCGGGTTCGGCAGTCCGGGGACGTTTGGTCCGGCGGGAAGAGGATGGCTGTTGGGAAGGGAGGGCGACAACGGCAGGCTGCGATTGACTGGGAGGCGTTACTTCGGGCCTAGCCGTTTCGGTAAGAAGGGCCCTAACTCTGCTCCTTTTCGCCATCTCTTCTTCTGCTGTTAGAGGGACAAGTCTTATCTCGGGCAGAGTTGGGTCCGGCTCCGGTGCTTCCTCGAGAAGAAAATCAGTTACCTTTGCTTTGCGGCGACCGCTATACCGGTAGGTCGGCTCAAAATTTAGAAGCTTTGACCAACTTCTTTCTTTAACCCGTAGTGCGGCTCGCAGAACCCCAAGGTTGGGATAACTGTACAGGGAACGGAGATGGGCGAAATCTGCAATAAAGAGAAGTGTTAGTTCGGCTAATAAACTAAAACAACCGAGATAACAAACAAGACAGAAGACCGAAGCAAAATTACCAGGCTCTCCCATTTTCCAATTTATAGGTCGGCCAGGAATTTGAGCTTGAAAATCCTCAAAATTCCCAGAGACCCAAAGGAAATCATCATCGTTAAGATCTTTGTCCGGAGTATGCTTAATTATCTTCTCTCGGCGGCGGCGAATTCTGAGGTAGTAGACCCACCCAGCATTCTTTGAGCCGATGGAATACTG